AAAAAATAAACAATTTAGATTTTCAGTACAAATCGGCAATTTCATACATTAACCCCTATTATAAACGTATTAATGAACTCACATGTATATTTTCAAAAGTTGTTGTTTATTTTAACACCTTTAATTGTTTTTTACGCCAGTAAGTACTTTAGTTACCATTCTATTCACATGTTTTACGCTAATTATACATTTAATTTTTGAATGTATTTCTGATTTTTGATATAATAGCAAAAAATAATAATTAGCTGTATGAACAACATTTTGTATGAAATAGCTTATTTTCTTTACACGAATGTATAACTTTCGCGTAATTGCTATCGGTGCGTGGCAGTAAGGCGCGGAGGTGGAGCGGGCGAGGGCGCGACGATACGCGACGGGTCACGGCGGCAACTAGCATCAGAAGTCGAAGATCGTCACGAAGGTGACATGCACATTTAATTTTTATTAATATGCCATATGTTACTCTTCAGGTTTGTTTAGGTGCTTGCTGCAACACCTTAGCCACATTCTTGAAAGTTTTGTTGTAACAGGGGCACAGCTCTCCAGAGTGCTCCCCGCCTTGGAAGTCCTGGCTTCCAAGATAGTTATTCTTGTGGTTGACGACAGGTAACAGGCACTCTACTTATACCTGTCTTGATAATGTCTCTGTTTGTTGCAAAGTTCGCAACTTGTTCAATGCCCTGGAGTTAGAGAAGACATGCGAGATGATTCTCAGATGAGTAAATTGCGGGAATTAAGGGTCACGATATGTGAATAAAGTCATTAGCTCCTCGACGGTCAGATACGTATTACAAACTACACGTTTTAGTAACGATTTCACTTTTGTCTCCTAAACCCCTCCAAATTAGGGGGAGTAAGCGGGGATAAAATGCCATTTAATACCCTCATAGTGCGCAGCCCCTTTGACGAATTTTGAGCTCGCTCGTCCTAGCTCATTGTGAACTCGCTGAAAGTTGGGGGTGTTCTAGCATTGGTTGTCACAAAAAATATCGTGAAACTTACCACGGCGGGAAAGTAATCTATTTAAGGACTTTAGAAGGCAGCAATACTTACACATCTAAGAATCTCTACACTATTAACAACCTATACTTAACCTTTTATAATATTATAGAAAATAAAAACCTAAACAAATATTTTGTTAACTTATACATACTAATACTTAGTCAGCATTAATTGAAAATGGACAGGCAAAGTCGACGCCCGTCACAATGAAGTGGAAAGTAAAAATGATTTGAGGAGGGGGCAAGTTGCTCATCATAGTTAGAATTACGTTGCCTGGAATATGCAAGGTATACATGTTTTTAAGTGTAAGCGTTAATTCTGGACTATAGTGCAAAAATCAGAGTTTATTGACATTGATTTATTAAATCCGATTATATACCTCGATTTTCGGCATTAGCCCAAACCTACTATGCTTTATTAATATTAAGTTTTCTTTTCTGGTTGTCAGTTAAGAAAGAACTTTGACTTCCGCTATCCAACAGAACTCGTGCAAGGTAAGTGCTGTTGTTCCGTTCATGCATGAGAACGTCACTATTATTTTCGTATGGGGTAATAGTAGTAAGGCACTGTGGCGATGCTGACCTCCTTCGTCGTCATCCCACCTTTTAATACCCTCTTTACTGGTTCCTGGCAACTTACTTACTTTCAAAATTTTGAATCGATCTCGAATATCCTATTCCTTCAGTATTCTCACTCCCATCAAAATTCTTAAAATGAGAGGACGTGCTCATAAATCACCCTCATATAAAACTCAACTTCGCGTGACTTACTGTTTAATGATGTAGATATACATACATAGGCCCTTTTGGGATAAGTGTTGTCTAGACTGTGTTTAATGGAGAGTGTTTTATACTAATTGTACTTTTTATGTCATTTTATTATTTTATTGGTTCAGCTTTTCAATTTTACTTTTAAATAAATTAAGTATGTAGAACCAGCTTTTTCTTTCCTTTCGCTAAGGCTAGGCTAGAACAAGTACAATAATCCTTTGTTTTGCGTATTTTGCTTTTCACAGTTTAGAGTAGGTATTCTATTGCACATGTTTAAGATGGATATCGTTACTTTATTGTTAATTAACTTTTTTACAGGTCTTACAGGAGCTGAAACACAGTTAGCGGTCAGATGACCTAGGCAAGATCAATTAAGGTAAAGCTTACGTACGGCTTCGAGGGTCATATCTACAAATTGTTTACAATTAACTATGCGGTAATTTTGATTACAAATAAATATTCTATTGTACGTAAACCAAAGAAACTTTTCGTAAACGTAAACAAAAAATTAATGTCCTTATATAATTATAATATATAAGGACTTATAAGGAAATAAATAATTGTTGTTTTTTATTTTTATTTATTGGAACGGATTTGGAGTAACCGTAAACTGCCTCCAACGTCACAGCTCTCTTTCTAAGGAATTGATAAAAATCCTCAAGGTCAGGGTACCCTGACCCGATTTATAAGGCCCGATAAGGCCCGATTTGTACCCTAGTTGTGGTGCACGAAAGGACCCTCTCCGCAATGACGTAAGAATCATCTTCCCGGTACTTCTGGCGCACTCTAGGCAAGAATCCTTTCACAATGGTAAACATGCCCCATACACAGATCAGCCTCGCGGTAACTAGTGGAGTGGTCCGCGTGGCTAAGTTCTGGGCTGCGATAACATAGTGTATGATGAAAAGAAGACTCCCTAGTCACTTTTTCTAGATTCTGGACAGCAATGTAAACTACGAGGATGTCACATTTAACAGTTTTCCACGTATATACTCAAGCCTTGCAAGTTTTTTGACACGTAAGTAATGATAAATTGGAGTTATACGACTTCCCCTATTTAGAAATTTGAGATTAAAAGTAGATTTGAGGTGATTATTTATCAAAACATTCTTATTGTTGTACCTATTATAAAGTAATTCCCATGCCACATTATAATTCTCGGTAGTAACTACATTTAATTTTATTGTCATTGTGGCACCTCCGTGCAGTGAGAATATGAGATAATAGAACTTGCTTAGAATATGCTTTTACTCTATATCATGGGCAGTTGATACAATTGAGAAAGTACTGGTTTTCTTTACCAAATCGCTGCAAAGGCGTATCTTGATTACTAGACCTAGATCAAACCTCTTCGATTCGTGACTTGACATTTTCAAATTTTGTAAATACGTCGTTTCTTTTTGCTAACCTAATGTCAGCTGCAAATCGATGATATTTCATCGGATGTCTCTACTTCTTTCTAGCTGTTCTCAATCATATCAGTTCAGTTTCTGCTGCTTCTCTCGATTCTGTGCCACCTGTATCCAATTCAACGCCGTCACTTTCTTTATGTCATCCTTCCAACGCATCGCGGTTTCCCTCTAGGGCGTTTTTCTCTCCAAGGTCGCCATTCAAGGACCGCCTTACACCAGGAGCCTTGCTTTCGAGGAACGTGACACGACTACCGCCGCTTAAGGTTAATTACGCGTTTGGTGACATCTGCGACTCAGCTTTACTATCTGAGCCACACATTTGTTTTGCGGTCTTTGAGTGTATTTCGCACGAGTTTCCCATCTCTATCTATTTGTTTTTTATCTCTCTTCCTATTCCTCTGGGCTGCCAGTAATTTTTGAATTATGTTTTTTGTTAGCACCCAGGTACCATATATTATTAATTGTGGCAGGATACACTGGTCGAATATTCTTGTTTTGTGTTCCGTCGCCGTGAGCTTCACTTTTAAAGCAAACTCCAGCTTTGAGTATGCTGCCCACATCAAACGTATACGCCTGTTAATTTCATTGAGCTAAACCCGATTTTCTTTGCCCATTTTTATTTCCTGATCCAGAAAACAAACTTATCCTCTCTTTCATCG